TCTGTGTTGCTTCCAGAAATTTTCACTCTAATGCTGCATTTGTAAATAAGCTTAATGGCCATTTCAGCTCCTGTGAGACCTGAAGCTTGGAAATTTAAAGCGGGTCCCTAGACTCCAGTTAACTACCAGTTTGCATGCAAAGACAGCCTTTGAGGATGTAAATCTGTTGCCTCATTCCAAAGATCAAGCGTCTGAGCTCAGGTGGATGGGAACACGTGACATTTTCTGTTCTCCTTAATTTCTGTATCAAAGGTTTGCATCAAATGAAATTATTGCAGTCAGGATATGGCTTGAGGAATCTTCCATCTAATCTGCCTGTGAATTGTCAAGCTACTGCGTGCAGGGTGGTGTTATAATATGGAACAATGACTAAACGTCACCTGCCAAAAAGGAAAGGCAGCAGGGGAACCCTTTGTCACAGTAATAGCTCTGTATTCACTGCTGAAGGCAGAGCTGTCTCAGAGGAGTGGGTCTTTCCAGCTGGCTAAGGGCTGCTGCAGTAACAAGCATTAATAGCTCCTGAAAGCAGATGATGTGGAACAGAAATCACCTCCCTACACATCCTCAGAGGTGCTCTCACCTTCTTGAAGTGTGAAGGGCTGCTCCCCACTGTACCATCCTGCTGGTCATCTGGCTGCATTGCGCTGGCCGTGTTGCTATGCAGTAGCATTTTTGGGGTGGACGAGAGTAGACGAGTGCTTTAGATCTGGCGGGCACACACAACCGAGTGATGCGGAGCAGTCTGCTTGTGGGAGTTAAGTGCTGCGTCTTGGATAACACCGAACGTGATTCGCAAGGAATGAAATTTTAACTGTTGGGTTGTTCACATTGCAGAAATACATTTCAAATCCATTTGGGTTTTGGGCTAGAATTACAGTTGTTGCTGCTTCTGTGGCGACAAGCACGATCACTCTTGACACTAGTTTGACACTTAGGAAATGGGAAATAGAGTCAGTGTTCAAGGTGATGGCAGGCAACTCTGTTCCTCAGACTAGCATTGTGATGCAGACATGACTAGATTACACTGTTGTTACTCCTCTGATGGACTCCCTAACAGAGCTCTGTCAAATAATTTATCTTGGAGATGAAAAAGGGAGCCTGACTGCAGGAGACCCAGCTTTGTCAGTGCTCTCTGTGTCTTTGTTACTGGTCTTTGGAGAGTGAGTAGATGATATGCTTCTGGCAATTCTCGCTTGATTAAGGATCTTCACTGTAGATGAGCTTAAATGCTAGCAGAAACAGCTGGAAGAACTAGGAGCTAATGATTATCTGAGTGGAGATGCCTGCTGCTCTCAGGGACTGGGCCCAGTGTTAAGACTGGTGTATCAGTGGAAGTCGAGTTGCAAGTCAAGACAAAGGAGGCCATAGCCACAAGAGGAGAGGACAGTTGTTTGGAAGAACAGCAGGGTAGGCTGGACAGTACTGCAAGAGAGCACAGATGGGAAGCATAAGGTGGATATGAGAAAGAAATGAATCATGCTAGACTGGACCTTGGAGTCAGCTGGATAGCTGCTCGTGGTCTCAGTGGGTGCAGGCTCAAGCTGCAATTAGTGAACGAAAGGAGACAGTGCACAATTCATCCTGTCTTTGCCTATCCATGCAGTGCACTGTCTCAGCCCATACCTATAGGTAAAAATGCTGAAATATTTCCTAATAATCACTCACACTAAGAGTTTCTAGCATTACTCCAGAGAGGCTAATAGAGGAGGTGGTACATCCATGAATCATCTCTCTTTGCTCAGTAGCATTCAGAGAGCCTTTGGTGGTACTTAAGTCAAAACAGAATGTAAATTTGTTTAAGTTTTTATGAAGATGGTGTTAAGTGAGAGAGAGCAAGGAAGCTTGCAAACATGACCTTTAGATTCAAAGCTGCAAAGAATGTCAGTACCAAGAATGATGTCATCCAACAATTGGAGGTTCATAAATAGTTTCCCTAAAGCATTGAACCTTCCACAGGATAAGAATTACAGATCTTCTGTACCTGTGTCAGCCTGAGGAGATACCCTCTGCTTTGGAGTGAAATTGGGTGCCACATCTCTATAACAGAACTTCCTTGCGAGGACTGCTAATTTGGCTAGACGTTTATTTACAGCATGATTAGGTGATATAAGGAGATGCACTGATATTCCTGTCCATTCCAGTGGACAGGAAGCTGCTAACCCAGGTAACGTAAAGGCAGGTGTTTCAGTACTTTCGGTACCGTTGAGGATGCAAGAGTATTGCCGTGATAAATTTAATGAGTCCTTGTTTTTCGGTTTTGATTTCTGCCTCTAGCTGTGTTTTTATTCCATGTTGCGTAAGTGTATCTTGTTAATCTGTAAATAAAGTGAGTATGTAATAGAAGTGAAAAATGAGTTTACAGAAAACACATTTTAATGCAGGCCAAAATGATTTCCCTTAATGTCTATTTTTAGCTGGGTGGGTGCACTCCTTTCCTTTGGTAACCCACAGGCACCTCTCTCATTCTTTTTTTAAATTAGGCCTCCCACACCATTAAATCATTTTTTATTGACTATTGAGCCTGCAAAGAAATGGACTGAACTTTAATATGCTACATTACCATACCATAAAATACAATTTGTAGATCTTATTTAGATTCTGTGTTGCTGCACCTCCTCTAAATAATTGTTATTACTGAAGAAGATTTACAGGCACCGTTGAAAGAAAGAATAAGTACTCTCCATTTTGTATGCATTGAAACACCGGCTGTGCGTGATTTCACATCTGAACCCCCTGCTCCCGATTCTTTTCTGAAATGAAAGAAGTCACAATATGCTGTTAGTTGCTAATAGAGCTTTTAATACCTTTTAATACGGCAGTATCCAGAACTTCTGCTGATTTCAAACAGTGCCAGGATTTCACCCCTTCTTTTGTACCACTAAGTTTGTGCTAACTTTGCAAATGAAGTGTTTATCTTCAGGCTGTGAATCGTCACTTTGCCATCCCCATCATCATTATTGCCACATGCACAGAGTCAGCTGCTATGCAGCACTTGGCAGGAAAATGCTCTGTTCCTTGGGAAGTGCAAGTGAAATACTGTCCTCCCACAAACTTTTGAACAAGGCTGTGCACATACTCAGCTTGACAAGGTACATGGCCTTGCTTTCTGTTATTATAGATAGCTGCAGCCTCTTGGAGCCAAGGGAAGGGATGCACGCTGAGATTTTATAATGATTAACCAGAGAGAAATGTATATGAGTCACTCTTAAAGAGTATAGCTCTTACCAAGGAACTAATGTTTTGCTCATGTTGACAGCCTTAGAGAATGACATTTATCTGTAGCACAACCTAGGGATGGCTAAGAAATATTCGAGCATTTTCTCGATGATGTTTCACCCTTCTTCTAGAGGGACCACTTCAGAAGTGGAAGGGTGTTCAGCCATGCTGTCATTTCAGTACACGATCGTTTTCAGTGTGCTGATAGAAGTGCTATTTGTGGGCCAAGTCTCATGTCAGATAGGCTAAGGAGGAGCCTTTCCATGGTCAGGCAGGACTGCTTTTGAGATGCTCTCATGCTCACCTCTACCCAGCAAGCTCCATGTCAGCATGCCAAGTCCCCACAGTCATCTGGGTCTCCCAGTGTTTTGAAACTGGCAGAGTTTCAAAGCTATTTAAGAGGAATTTTCAGGCTAATTTCCCCCCTTACAGAGACTTTCTGAGAATATTCACTACCTTTAAAAGTCAGGGCATTTAAGGTTGTGTCTAATTTCAGAATTATTTATCTAAATCTGGAGTCTGAATTAGTCATTTCAAATTGGACTCTTGAACTGCAATACTTACTGCATTACCACATCAGTTTAAAAAAAAAAAAGAGACTTTGAGCTTTTGCAGTGATAACATGTAGAACACAAACAGGTTATGGACCAAAGAGCAATGGCTGCTGTATGAAGAGAGAGAATTGCTTTATATACATACATGCATACATACATATATGTATCTGAAAACACAGTTTCCCTTTTTAGTTACGTGTGGCAGTGAAAACTGAGTATCACTTTTGAAGCCTTTTGCAAGGTTTTAATGCATAATAAATGTAGAATTAGAGTAGACTGTTTCAGTTGGAAGGGACCTACAACGATCATCTAGTCCAACACAACGATCATCTAGTCCAATGATGATCTCCAAATCCTGAGAAATGTTACAAGTTTAACCATGAGATACGTTATGAAATTTATGTTTAATAAGAGAAATTATTTGATTAACAAATTGATGGTCAAGCACATTAGGATGCCTGTTACATTTTTCTTTTTCCTAAGAAAACCACTAAGATAGTTGCTGATAGTTGCAGAAAGTAAACGGCTGAGCAGTCTCTTCCAAGAGCTTGCTTTTGTTTTTCTGTAGAGCATGTATGAGGAAGTAAATGTGTGAATACAGAATATAAACAAGTCTCTATGATAAAAGCCTTTTGATTTTAATAGTCTCTGAAAAGTTAAGAGACAGCTATCTCATAAACTAGACAAATAAGCAGAGAGAAACACTTTTAATAATTTTTCAGAATGTGGAAATACTCGTTTAAATAAGTTATCTAATGTCCAGCTCAGTCAGATGTATCCTATTACTCTGACATGTTTAAAGTTCTCAGTAGACAGTGATGGCTTATTCTGTTCTTTTTTTCCCCAGATTATTTGGAAATACATATGATGGCTCCAAGTGGCTACCAGCCCTGCTTCCTTAGGGCTCAGTTCAGCACTGTTTACATTCCTGACTGAGGAATTCTTAAGGCCATCTTCTGTCAGGAAAACACCTAAAGATGTCCATGAACATCTGATAGAGCCCTTAGCATTAAAAAAAGATCCATTCAGTGAATCCACTTGTGATAGTAAGCACTAACCATAGTAGTAGCACTGTGCAGGATCATGGCCTCATGTTTTAATATGCTTAAGGGAGATGATATGTAATCAATGTGAAGAAAGGTCTCTGACTTATTTCAACTAATAGTAGAGTGTTTTTTGGTTTTTGTTTTTGTTTTTTTTTGTTGTTTTTTGTTTTGTTTTTTTTTTTAGCGGAACTCTTCATGGAACAGCAGCATCTCAAAGAAGCAGGCTTTTGTATCCAGGAGGCAGCTAGTCTTTTCCCCACGTCTCATGCTGTACTGTACATGCGTGGGAGGCTTGCAGAGATGAAAGGCAATTTGGAGGAGGCTAGGCAATTGTATGATGAAGCGCTCACAGTGAATCCAGCTGGAGTGGAAATTATGCACAGCCTGGTGAGTTTGCAGGGGCTCAGCTCCATTATAGTATTTATGTTCCTGATTAACTGTAATAAGAGGGGAGAGGGCTCATGCTTGCTCTGGAAGCCATTGTCTTCCTGATCCTGAGAGCAAGTGACTGTTCCAAGAATAAATTGGGTAGCTTGAACCTCTATTTTAAGACTGGATTGAATGTTTTTAACTAATTAGGGCTTGTGTCAAAAGTAAATATTTTAATTGACAAAGGCTGATAGTTTTGGAATTCAATTCACTGCTTTCTCTTTGCTGCTTTTCCTACTAACTTTTAAATAAGCAATACACTGATGTTTGAAAGCTCTGAACTAAATAACTATAGAATATAGATACTTATGGCGTTTGTAAACCTTGGGCTGGAGTCTTGTGTCTACTCAAATCAAGATAAACTATGAGATTATGATAAAATTAATCTGTTACTGTTTTAAGCTGCGGCTTAGCTCCAACCTTGTGTAGGGGCAGTGACTCCACATTTGTGGGTTTTTTTGGTAACATTCCTATCCAGCAAGTATTTTTTCTGTTGCACCATTCCCACAACAAACTTACTTACCAACACAGGGCCTAGAGCTTAATAATAATAATAATAATAATACAGGGAGCTTTGTGGAAGACCAAAACCCACTTCTCTTATGAAATCAGAACAGTTAATCATATTTCATCAACGATGTGTCTTGTTAACTGTAGCCCTTACTAGGTCTTTCTGAGATTTTAGAAGTCTTTCTTGACTAAGTTTTACAGGAGTTCTATATCCATGTGACGGCTTTGTGTCTTTGCTAGCAGATTTGGGTTTCCTGGCATAAATTTGGTCCTGGTGAGGTTTGCAGGCAACTCCAAAACTGAAGGGGTATCAGTGCACAAAAGGAAAAACGTGAAGTTATAATTCAGAGAAAATAGTAGAACCTACAGGCAAGGAATGAGATATTTGGTAATAATGAATGTTCGGTGCAAAACCAGCAAATGAATAGCTGGTACATATGTCAGGAGAAGATTACAAAACAGCTATGCGCATATCAGGCTTATATGGGGCAATAATATTACTTTGTTGCTGTGATCCAACCTTTACAAAATCAGTCGGTAAAAACCGGGCAAGAGAGAATGATATTCTTTGCTCAGTTAGTGTCATGATTTTCAGTCACTGATATCAGAGCAGCCATCAAGTTAGATGCCAACATGATACTAATAGCTTTCATTTTTGTCTTATTTTATGGGCAGAACCACATACTGCATCTTCCCATTTCAGTTGCTTGCAATTTTCTGAAACTATAGTCATTTGGAATAAAAATTTCTGAGATGCACATCTGCTCTGGCCCAATTTACTTTGGAAAATGTCACCCAACATGGCTTAACTGTTTCTGAAAACGAGGCTGAAGAAGAGACCTTAAAGGCTTCTGTGACATCATCTTTACTGTGCTTTATTGTCTCCAGGTTTTGTCAGGAATGGGTAGTCTTTGTAACATATTAATGTGCTTTTTACCATCCCTAAGAAAATCTTTCCTAAGTTATCCAAGTTATAACCTTTGAAAAACACATTTTATATGTGCTTAGCAGATACGTATTTCTGAAACCTCTAAGGAGTCTGTGGATGCTCATTCCTCTCAAACCCCAGTAAGCTCCATCATCTCTTAGTCAAGGGATGGAAGTAAAATTTAGAACAGGTGAAAAAGACAGTGAGATGGGGAATTTAGGGGCAGAGACTCAGTCCATAAGCAAGTAGGGAAGAGGAAGATAAACTCAATAACAAAGTGAGAGAAATAAGGATGGATAGAAAATAAGATAGGCAACATTGGATAAGACTGGATAGATAAGAAGAATGAGACTGGGTTAAGGAACCAGGCTGAGACACGTGGTTTGAGGGGTGGGCATGTTGGAAAGGATGAATTAAAAGGGTCGGTCTTGTGAGAGAGGCAAAGGAGCATGAACTTGTAAGAGTACTTCTACTCCATAGCCTTCAGTCTCCTTAAAATACTGAATCTTCTCATCCTGATGCCAGCAAATATCAGTGAAAATCACTTGCTTAAACATGTGCATCTCCTTTAGCTTGGCCATGCTGGCAGCCTGTGGTTTACACCTGTTAGCTAAGATAGCAAAGGTCTGGTCTATCCCTGCTGGTATGAATCATGGCAGTAGTTATAGGATGCCACATAATGGCATTCCTTTGTATGCTTTTCCAAAAGCTAGGAAATTGCACATAACAAATTAAAAGCATCTGATGAGCACTATAGAAAAGCCTGTAAAGAAATTAATCGTTCTGCCTTCAGAACAGAGCTGGAATAATTTGCAGTAAACAAGGCTTTTAGGGCTATGCATCAAATAAAAAGGGCAAAAATTAAATATTGAATGGCTGCTAGCTAAGTGATTTTGTCCTGTGTACTGAATGAGACAGTGTCCCCAGGGAGAACTTGAGACTGGGTTTATGCAATTGAGGATATAATGTAACAAGTGTAAATTCTGCATCTCCTTGATACCATCAGAAGACTGGATGTCTTTCTGAAATGTATGTATTAGCCAAGTACTAGTTGTACTTTTATTAAAAATACAAGTTCTTGAGCACAGTATGTTCAGTCCCCTACCAGAAGGAAATCTATGTCTTGGATTATGCAAGAGGCCAAACTGGATTATCAGGTAGTTCCAAGTGGCTTGAAACTATGCAAGACACATACACAGGCAGCTGAAACTAAATTCACACATACTCTTTCAGTGCTGGTCTCCTCAAACATTTGAGTTCATAGTTTTCCCGCTGTAGTAATACTGTTGTGGATGTATAATAATTTAGGTTATGAGAGTTACTGTTTGACTTAGTGCAATTGCCATCCAACTGACCTAGTCCACTTTAAGTGAAAATTCTGCTGTAGACAGTGCCGATTCTCCCTGGTGTATCAGTATCAATTAGCAAAGTAGTCATGTCCCTTCCCCTGGGCTCTTAGAACTGGGTTGTCAAAGCTATATTTGGAAACTTCCAACCTGAAGAGTGTTGCTGGCTTTAAATGAAGGGTACAGATCTAGCAATGAATGAGTCCATCGCACATCAGTAACTTCACTTTTACACGGAGTAGAGTCACCACCATAATAAACACAAGCTCTTTCTCTGTGTAGCTGAAAATGGCTGTGTTTTACTGCGACTGTACGGTGTTTACAATAACTGTGAAATCAGTGTGCTTTCCATATAAAGTATGCTGCTGCATGGAAGAGCAGCACCGTACAGCAGGACTGCAGTGCTGACTGCATCTGATGAGGTGGGTAGCACACTCTGTTTCATCACGGGGGCTATTGGCACTTGGTGTTCGATACTGTGGTTAGGAAACCACAGGTACGTTGAAAATACCACATAGTTGTGCTGCTTCTTGCTAGCACTTGCAGTTTGTAAGTGATGCCACAGGATCCTTAAGCCTGTATTAAGAATCCACCAATGGCCCTTACAAAGTAAATACTACTGGCTAATACCTAATCTAAGGAAGCACATTTGTTGAGGAGTTCTGTTTTCATTTCGAAAAAACACATACTGTAAGACCACAGCTCTCCTTAGGAAATGCAACTTGCTAGGGGTTTTTTTCCATGTTTCTCCTCATTGTGTGTCACACATTTCTGTCTTCCCTTCCTTTACTAGAACAGCCCTGTTCTTTTCTTTGTCTTCCCTTTCACAGGCTCCTTCTGGGGCCTGCTTGCAAAGATCATAGAGCACTTCTCCCTGCCAGGGGGGCTGATGGAGTTTCCGCTGAGTAGGTATCTTCACTGGTCCGGAAACAAGAGCTTAGCCCATATCCCCTTGTCTTACACTGTGACTAGTCAGCCATGCCAGATGCTAATCTCTGACAGCACGTTTCTAAACCAAATAACTATGGCTTGCTTCTTTCAGTATGTACCAAATTTGGTTATATAACATCATGATACACACGGTGATAACAAAATTGACATGCCCAACCAAGTCAGAAAATATAACATAAGCCAGGGCAGATGACACCTCCTTGTAAAGCAATACACAAATCCACCTACCTGTATGTCACTCGAGAAAGACATTGAAATTTGCTAGTTCCCAGCCACAGTATTTCAGTGCATTCAGTACCATTCTCCCTTTTGATTCAGAGGAGGAGAAAATCAATGCCAGCATGTTGGATTTGAGTCCTAAAGCTCCATACGTAATATTGCAAGATAAACTGAAAACATACTGAGATATTCAGAAGACTCCTGCCCAGTATGCATCTCACATAGCACTTTGTCGAGTTAGAGCAATTCTCAACATGTTTTAGTTCGTGGAAGAAGAAAGAGAGTTGTGTATTTAAAAGGGAAGGAAATGGGCACCCTCATCTCCATCACTGTACCAGATTTAATGAAAAGAACAAAAAAATACCGTCAAAACAAAGAAAAAAAAATTCGCTTGACTCATACTTGAGTCTTACTGATTGTAGTGGAAGATTGTAATGATTCCTCACTTCTCGTGGAGGCTGGGGCAAGGATGATAAAGTTATCAGAATGCCACGTAGCTGTCTGCACTGCCTCATCCCCAAGCTTGATAGCGAAACAAAGTGAAATATATATTGGGTTTTGTTTGGTGAGTTTTTGTGAAGGTTAAAGTGGAAAGCAGTCTTCATAATGTATTTCTGTGTTCTGTTGTGACCACATAAATGGGTGGAAAACATAATCTAGTGAAAACATATTTGATTTGTTCCATAATCAAGTCAAATACAATATACAGGTAATACTGGTTGGCTAATCATGAGAGTTCTGCTTTTTCTTAGAGAGACTGTCATCTGCACCACAAAACATAACATCGGCAGCCATGCAAAGGGCTTTACATGTAGTAAAAGTAGTCATGTAGTACCCTCCAACTGAAGTTGGAAAAACAAGCTTCCCACTCACCTGAGTTTAAATTACCTAAGCTGGGCCAACAAATTGACTGTAGGCTGTTTTGTGACCCTTGTTTTCTGAGATTAGTGTAGATTTTGGCCTTTCCCCAGGGAGGCCTTGTTATTTTTTGGAGAAGTTCCTAT